TTTTAACGTGTGAAATGCGTTAATTTTTCAAAACTAACGGCATGTATGTAATCCACTAAACGTGCGTGGACCCTTTATGACGTCACAGAGAAATTACGTCGAACATTTATCCAAACACACATCTATGACCTCTTGACCCCATACCTGTATTTACACAGTTATAAAAACGTTTGCCTTCAGTAGTGTTATATAAAGGAAAACATTTGCAAATGTAAATACAGCTAACTCCGGATATATTGAAATTCAGGGGACCATGCAAATTATTTCAATATATTCGTAATTCAATATAAGCGAAATCGTGAAGCCGCCATTTTTACAAGTTCAATCCCGATCTAAAATAAAGAAGAACAAACCCAAACAAATTAACTTTGTTCTCGTTTATAGACAGATAACATAGAATATGAGTCCTTGAGAATTTAAATATTTTTAGTTTTATTTCTGTTACATTGAAAAGACAATCTTCAACCTCATTATTTATCCCTGATTTCATTTATTTGCGTTTTGGAGAAAATTCACCGGACTAAAACGGTTGAGTACTGCTTGTAATCCATCGTAAGTGTACTCGGGTTAATCTCTTAGTTATTTCGAATTTAGGCATACCAATAGTCATTTACAGAATGCATTTGATTTCAAAGTTATTGATTTTTTTTTCTAGATCTGTGAGGGTTGTTATTATAATATTACGTTTAGCTGTTTAGCCTCGATATGTCCGTATTATATACATGGACGCAAAGAATCTAACAGCGAAGAATTTTATATTTCGTAAGAACATGCAGTATAAAAACACATGCATAGGTGAAAACTTAAATATTCACACCTTTGTTTATCACCTGGTCAATCAGGCATAATTATTGCCACCAACCGTAATGACAGCCGCCTGGGAGTACTTCAATATAACCGTTATGAAAACAACTCATTATCACCTGTGGGGACCAATCAGTGGCTTCAATATAAGCGAAATTCCAATATATCTGATTTCAATATAACCGTTATTTCAATGCAAAGAATATGAGAGGCAAAACGGGGGATTTATTTCTATTTCAAAAAAGCGGAATTTCAAAATAAGCGAGTTCAATATAAGTGGAGTAAGCTGTATATATAAATAAACAGAACATATTATAGTTTCAAAGCAGTTAATTCACAATTTTTGTTTTTATGACGTCACAAACTAGTCCGATTTTATATCATTTTTCAGAAAGAGGACAAAATGGAGAAAATTTCAACAATTTTAGCTTTAGAATTCATAGAGTGCAAGTTTGTTCAGGAACAATATTTACATATTTCATTGATATTATCATTCTACACATTATATCAAAATATCGATCCTGAACACACATGCGCTCGGTGACTTTTACTCAAAAAATCGACGAAATATGTACATTTTTCTGTAGAATTCATGAAAAACTGAAATTTATGTTATGTTTCTGACGTCATTACGTGCATATGACGTTGTTACTTATGAAAATATTCATTACTTTGAAGTCAGTATATATTCCCCTAGCTTGTTTAAGAACTCAATTAAATATATCTCCATCAAAGTTTGATTTGGGGGGCAAATATTGGTTATAACCGAATAAAGTTCTTTTCCATAATAAGAATTTAAAGTCCTATAAACTGAACTGATTGCAAGCAGAGTAAACAAGGAACTCTGCCAACAGAGAATCAGATGCCATGGAGAAGTGAGTGTCCCTTTCAGATCGGTCACAACCTGTCGTGTTATCATTGTATTGAGGGGGTTAATGGAAAAATCCATTGATGATTTAGTGTAAAAATAATGGTCTAACAATTTATATGAAAAACGGCAGTCAACATTCAATATAAGGATACATTAGTGATGGGAATCGGTAAGAATTTCATAATCGATGATTGGATTACTCTAACTAACTAATTATCAAATATAATCAGACATGTAACAAGAGGCCCAGGGGCCACAGCGCTCATCTGAGCACATCAGGCTTGAATTTACCCCCCCCCCCTCCAGGCATTCATCATTTGAACAAACTAGAATCTACACTACCTGAGGATGATTCCACATGTGTTTCATCTTTCCTAGCCCAGTGGTTCTGGAGTAGAAGATTTTTTAAGATTTTTCCTATATATTCCTATGTAAAATTTGGGTCGGCCATTTTGGCCCCACCCTTGCCCCAGGGGTCATGATTTGAACAAACTTGAATTTACACTACCTAAGGATGCTTTCACATGAGTTTCATCTTTCCTGGCCCAGCGGTTCTGGAGAAGAAGATTTTTTAAAAATGCCATTAATTTTTAACAAATTCATGATAATCTCCCCTTCATTTGAACAACCTTGAATCCCCTTTACCCAAGGATACTTTGTACCAAATTTGGTTGAAATTGGCCCTGTGGTTCTTCAGAAGAAGATGAAAATATGAAAAGTTTCCGACGACGACGACAACGACAGACAACGGACAAATTTTGATCAGAAAAGCTCACTTGAGCCTTCGGCTCAGGTGAGCTAAAAAGTATATGAATTTTAACAAGTAAAAGGTAAGAATGGGTCAATGACTACTTTCTGTGGTAATCCAGCTGGTCCTTTGTTCATTTTATAGATTAAAAGCATGCCCATGTCCAAAAACATGCTTTAATTGTTATCTGGGTAGAAATACAAGAGTTTGTTTATCTGCACCATTACGTTAAACAAATAAGTCAAAAGCAATGCTTTGTATGGAAAATTATGGTTAAAAACTATTACGCTTGTTAAAAAAAAAATATTAAACCGATTAATTAAAAAATTTAAAAATGCAATCGATTGCTTGGATTATGTAAGCAATCAACTGATTTTCGATTATAATCAATGATTGGAACACCACTAGGATACATAGTATTCGCAAATACCATTTTAACTCAAATAAATATGACTTGTTGATGCAGATAAATTTCTCTGATGTAGGTGCAGTACAATAACTTTAACATTTTCTCAAAATTATATTTCAGGCATTACTTGGCCATGGATCCAACCAGCACCAGTGTCCGAAGGCCATGTGACCTGTGTAAGACTGGCGAGGCGCTGATGGGCTGTGACACGTGTCTTGTCAACCTGTGTAAGGCCTGTGTGGGAGAACACATGATGTCTGGCGTATCTAAACTACACAAAATTGTGAGGTTCGCTCCAAGTAAATCTCAGCTCTATCCCTTTTGTGCATCTCATATCAAAAAAAGATACGAAATGTACTGTAATGAATGTGATGTCCCCGCCTGTAATGCCTGCCTCAGGACTGATCAACATCTTGGTCATGAAATTTTACAAATCTCACTCGTTCTCGACGAAAAAAAGAAAAAGATAATCAAAGAACAAACTGAATTGAAAGAGACGATTTCCCCCATGTACCAGAACATTGCCTCCGATGTACAGAACAAATTGAGTCAGTTGGAGAGGGACCACGCAGATCTTTCAACAGCCATAACAAAACATGGAGAGGACTGGCACAGAAAAATTGAAAAGGTTGTCAAGAAACTGAAAAATCAAGTCGATGAGATGAAAAACAAACAGCTACAAACTCTACAGAATCATAAGGATGAAATTAGCAAGACAATATCTGAAATCAAGGATGAAATCAGTTCCATGGAAAGATTGATCAATTACATGGACATCACTAAGCTTATTAATGCCACAACTAATATAGAAGGATATAAGAATCCCCCACAAATAACCATGCCGTCTTTACCTAAATTGGCATTGAGAAAAATCAAAGGAGAAGAATTCAACAAAATGTTTGGAGGTTTATCATCAAATTTATCAGAAGAAGATGGACTTGATTGCGTCGTGAAGACGGAAGAGATATTGGAAGACGATGCCTCCCTTCCATTCAAACAATTTATGGAGGAACCCGAGACTATCACCACTTTAGAGACAGATTATCACTTGCTTTACAATGTGGCCTGCCTGAGTGATGACGAAATCTGGACAACTGGACAAGACAAAACCATGAAACTCTACAGCATAAGTCAGAGATCACTGCTAAAGTCAATCGCAACTAAGTCCGAGTACAGACCAGAGGACATAACCGTGACAAATAATGGAGATCTAGTTTATGTCGATTTAATGGATGGCACGGTAAACATTGTGAAGAATGAGAAGATACGAAAGTTGGTGAGACAAAAGAACTGGCGACCTGACGGTGCCTGTAATACCGTCACTGGTGACCTCCTGGTTATCATGAACAACAATGATAACGAACGAACGCAAGTTTTACGTTACCATGGTTCCACGATAAAACAAAGCATTGAATTTGATGATGAAGGTAAACCTATCTATTCCTCTGGTCCCGCAAAGAGGTTAATAACAGAGAACAGGAACCTGGATATTTGTGTGTCTGACCAGAAAGCTAGAGCAGTAGTGGTGGTCAATCAGGCCGGGAAACTGAGATTCAGGTACACTGGACGTACTCCTGCTCCAAAGAATCAACCATTCAGTCCTCAAGGAATAACCACAAATAGTCAAAGTCACATCCTTACAGCTGATTATATCAATGATTGTGTACACATCATAGACCAGGATGGACAGTTCCTCCGATTCATAACCTTTGGAATTTCTGAACCCTTGGGACTGTGTACAGACACAAATGACAATCTGATTGTTGCTGAATATAGAAGGAAGCAAATGAAGAAAATCAAATATCTGATGTGAAACTAAAAAGAAAAACATTACAGCACATGAAGAATACGTTATGCTTCTTTATGGTTCATCTATAAACACAATCATAAAAAGTTTTCAGAAATTATGATATCATTTTTGTTTGTTTGTAAAGTTCATGCCTACAATGCTTGCAAGTCGGACTAGATCATAACACTTTGTTGTCAACTTCATTTTGTGGGTCAGGAGCCTGCTGGTTTATTTTTTATTTACCGGTATTAGGCTATTTTGAGACTTGATGCATGATGACTCCTTTAACATACATGCATTAAATAGCCAAGAAATAATGTTCATTTTTCATTTTATATACATGTAGCAAAGGAAAATAAAGGATCAAAACTATTTTATAAAATGAATTCAAAGTATAATCAATCTTTACTAGTTTCTCATTGTTTTCTTCATTTCTTTGTTTATTTTAAAAGTACAGAAAGTCTAGTTTTGTTGCACAATAGAATAAGCATGGAAACATTCGAGAAACATAGTCATCTGGACGGAATACTGAAAAAAAAACTTAAAAAGCCAACAAAAATTGTTTGTCATCACTCGAATAAAATAAGATAAAAAATTACAAATTCAGTTATCTCAATATTTTATCATTGCACATAAACAGTTCATATTTTGAATGTTAATATTCCATCATGGAATAAAAGTTCAACTTTTACAATTCACAAAATGTTTCTTCACTGACTGAAATTCACACCAAAAGAGATACTATAGTAAATAAGTTTGGCGTGGGTTTTAGATGTATGACCTTAGTTGACCTCTGATGACCTCTGTTGACCTCAGACCACCACCAATCCCTCGCTGACAGGCATGCTGATGACACCTGTAATGATGGGAACACTCTTTCCGTCCTTCAGAACAAACACCTGTTATAATGCAAAAAGTATAATTTACTAACAAACACACAAACAAATGATCCGTCTTACACTTGATATACAGTGTAATTAAATTAGTAACAGAAAGCAATGAAAAATGCTTTTTCCTACTTAACTAAATACCCCAAAAAACTTGTGTTTTTCTTCAGATTTTCTTGGGGGATCATCCGATCTTTGGGAGAACTCTAAGCTATCTAACAAAAATACATGTATACTGCCTACATGCAAAAATTTGCTGAATACACAGCAAATTTATTGCAACAAACCCAAAAAATTGTAACTAAGCAGCTTTTCAATAATTTCAGTTCAGATTCCAATAAGTTATTCAAAGTATATTAACAGAAATACATGTAATTCTTCTTTCAAGAACAAGAAAGAACTTTAAAAAAGGTTTCCTCAAGGATGAAAATGTTGAATTTTCTTTTTGTTTTGCATAGATTAGAACACACAGCTGTTTAGGTAAAGTAAGGTTATTTCTAGGAATTCAGTGTATACTAGGTCTGGCAGAGATCAGCATGCATTCTCTCAGTACCTAATTAATTTTGTTTATGTTTTTTTAAAAATTAATATTGTCAATTCTTAGTAATTTTTAACCAATTCTGCTTAATATTACTAAATGTAGTGTATTCCTTATGTTACTGTCAACACTACATGCAAGTCTTCAGTATCTGAGTTACAATGTTATTTCTATTGACATGCTGTTATGTTATGCAGTCTTTACTGTTCATTCAAAGAGATCCTCGTTCTTTGTGCAGACTTTAGACACGGGTTCCACATCAGTGCAGGGCATACTAATTACCCCAGTGATTATAGAAACCTGCGAACCTTCCTTCAAAACAAATGCCTGACCAAAACAGGTCATAAATGTAGCCAGTTCAAGGTTTTTTTTTTACAATTCTTAAGTGTTTGTGAAACACTTAAAAGTTTGACTTCTAAAACTTGAGGGTATTGAAATACTTTAAAATTAAGTCTCATAAACATTTAAAATTAAAACAGATGGATATACCATATATAGGCATGTAATCATG